CTTGCATATCCCTGACTGGTGATATTGATCATCTTTTCATGTACCTGTTGGACATCTGTACATCCTCTTTGGGAAAATATCTATTCAGGTCTTTTGCCCATTTTTTATTTGGGTTGTTTAGGTTTTTTTTTTTTTCTTAACGTTGAGTTGTATGAGTTCTTTGTATACTTTGGATATTAACCCCTTGCAGATATATCATTTGTAAACATCTTCTCCCATTTAGGAGCCATGCTTTTCATTTTGTTGATAGTTTCCTTCTCTGTGCAAACGTTTTTTAGTTTGATGTAGTCCCATTTGTTTATTTTTGCTTTTCTTGCCCTTGCCTGAAGAGACCTATTCCAAAAAATATTGCTAAGACTAATGTCAAAGAGTATGCTACCTATGTTTTCTTATAGAAATCTTATGGTTTCAGGTCTTACCTTTAAGTTTTTAATCCATTTTGAGTTTACTTTTGTATAAGGTGTGAGGAAGCAATCCTGTCTGATTATTTTGCATGTAGCTGTCCAGTTTTCTCAACACTATTTATTGAAGAGACTGTCTTTTCCTCAATGTATATTCTTGCCTCCTTTGTTGTTGATTAATTGCCCATATAAACATAGATTCATTTCTGGGCTCTCTAGTCATTCAGTTGTGTTGATCTATGTGTCTTTTTTTGTGCAGTACCATGCTGTTTTGATTACTGTAGCTTTGTATTATAATCTGAAGTCAGGGAGTGTGATACTGCCAGCTTTGCTCTTCTCTTTCAATATGGCTTTGGACATTCTGGGTCTTTTGAGTTTCTGTACTAATTTTAGAATTATTTTTTCTAGTTCTTTGAAAAATGTCCTTGATATTTTGATAGGGATTGCACTGAATCTGTAGATTGCCTTGGATAGTCTGATCATGGTAACATTATGAATTCTTCCCATCCATGAGCACATGTATCTTTCCATTTGTTTGTGTCATCTTCAGTTTCTTTTACCAGTGTCTGATAGTTTTCTGAGTACAGATCTTTTACCTCCTTAGTTAGATTTATTCCCAGATATTTTATTTTTTTGATGCAATTGTGAAGGGATTGTTTTCTTATTTTATTTTCCTTGTTAGGGTATAGAAATGCAACAGATCTCTGTATATTAATTTTGTACCCTGCAACTTTACTGAATTTGTTAAAGCTTTTTCTGTGTTTGAGATGATCACATGATTTTTATTCTTCAATATGTTAATGTGGTGCATCACATTGAATGATTTGCAGATATTCCATTTCTGGGGTAAATCTCACTTGTTCATGGTGTATGATCCTTTCAATGTATTGTTGAATTCAATTTGTTAATATTTTGTTGTGAATTTTTGCATCTATGATCAAATCTGTGTTATATTGGCCTGTAATTTTCCTTTGTTGTGATATCTCTGTCTGGTTTTAGTGTCAGGGTAATGGATGCCTCATAGAATGAGTTCAGAAGCATTTCCTCCTCTGCAATTTTTTGGAGTAGTTTGAGAAGAATAGTGTTAACTCTTCTCTAAATATTTGGTAGAATTCACCTGTGAAGCCTTCTGGTCCTGGGCTTCTGTTTGATGGAGGATATTTTTTATTACTGATTTAATTTCATTCCTGATTTTCTACGTCTTTCTGATTCAGTCTTGGGAGATTGTACATTTCTAGGAATTTGTCCATTTCTTTTAGTTTGTCCATTTTATTGGTGTTAATTGTTCACAGTAATCTCTTATGATCCTTTGTATTTCTGTGATGCTGCTGTAACTTCTCCTTTATGCTCCTTTAAGAAGCTTTTCAATAAAACAAATGTAGCACTTTTATTTTAAAAAAAATCAGCAAACCAATGCAGAATAAGTATAATGTTGCTTGTATGACACATTTAGAAACAACTAGGACATGCGAGGCCTGACTGGGCCCATGGTGTTCTTACTCTAAAAAAATATCCCGCAGTGCTGGTGACTCCCAAACCACAAAGAACACCTTGTGAAAACAACGCAGTCTTCAAGAGCCAAAATGCTCTGTGAGATTTGGATTCATGGCTGTGTTCCGTCAAGTGGCCAATGGCCATTTGACACCTCCCTCGGGGACTCACATACATCATTTCCAGTGACTGCCACTCACTAGTCAATATTCAAACTCTTACACAGTAAATTCTGTCTTGCATTTGCAATTTCTTATAAAAAGGACAGTCCCCTCCCTCCAAAATATTTTCTTTACAGTAATTAGCAAATTTGACTTGAAATTTCTGAGATGAGAAAGGAGACTCCTAAAGGCATTTCAGATTGTATTCCTGCAAAATCCCTCCACTTCCTTCCAGATTCTTAATTTAGGCATTTACCTTGGTTATTTCAAATCTATAGAATGATTCCAATGTGTTGAGTCTTAGTTCTCTGCACCTCTATGTATTCTCAAATATTTGGTTAACTGCCCTAAACTTTCTACTTAATGCAACATAATGTGTATCTTTCTCTGTTGTAACAATATTATAGACATACTTTCTGTATGCAGCTTCCCTCAATTTTCTTAATCATAAAATCTCAATAGCAGAGACTCTCTATCACCTTGCCTCTTCCTTAGCAGATTCCCCTCCTAGGAGAGGGCCAAAAGGGGCCCACTCTGCACCTGGGGCTGCCTGTACAGCCTCCAGTGGACTGTTCAGCAAAAAGACTTTTTTTTTTTCACTTCAAGCTAATTCCATGTGCTAGAGGAGTCAAAAGTACTGAGAAATTAATGTCTTGCATTATTCGCAGAAAACTTTATTTTTTATAAAATTGTATTTGCAAAGTAGAATAAAATGTTCATTTGGCTTCTTGAGTTTATTTTTAGTATTAAACAGCGCTGTTGCCTACTCCTAGCCCAATCTATCACATTCTTTGCTGGAGACAATTTTCATTCATTACACGTTTTAAGCGCTTTAAGGTAAAAAAAATCACGTGGATCTCTGAGACTGGTTTCAGATGACTACAAGTGTTCATTAAAATACTGACTCCCAATCTACTTTGGTAGGTAGCTGAGGGTTTGGACTCTGTCAGCAGGCCCCTACTTCAAAGTGGAAGACTAGATTTTGTAGTATTTAACATGAATCAGGGCCAGGGTATAGCTCAGCGGTAGAGTGCATGCTTAGCATGCACAAGGTCCTGGGTTCTAATCCCCAGCACCTCCTCTAAAAGTAAACAAATAAATCTCACATGAATCAGATAGCTATTGAGATTCAAGGTGTGGATTTTTTTTTTTGAGTTATAATCAGTTTACAATGTTGTGTCAATTTCTGGTGTACAGCACAATACTTTAGTCATATATGAATATACATATATTCATTTTCACATTCTTTCTTACCATGAGCTACTACAAGATATTGAATATGTTTCCCTGTGCTATACAGTATAAACTTGTTTATCTATTTTATATATACCTGTCAGTATCTGCAAATTTTGAACTCCCAGT